TTCCGACAGGTAGCGCGTGAAGAGTCGAGCCAGAGTTCTGATAATAACTGGCAGTGCATTCCTCATTTCTCGTTGTTCACCAAAAAAGTAGGAAATCAAGGAGTATGATATGAAAGTGTCGCAAATTTGCTCCAAAATGGGGCGCGACAGAGTCAAAAGCCAAGTCTTCCTCAATTCCAATCTCGATTTTCTTTCGTAAAGGCGATGCACCACAAAATAGATATCTAGCCACGCAGTTAAGTTGCGCAACTGAGATCTCGGAGTATATTCTTTCCACTAAATATCCAGCATAGTAAGCAGTAAGTATTTTTTGAGTGGCGATATAAACTGCATAGGCGCCTCTGATATAAAGGCTCGAGAATGATGAACGGAGCTACATTTGGGATGAGCCTTACAGGAATTAAAGTCTGATTTGGAGCCATGTCACAATACGAGCTTCAAACTGAGCTGAATATGGGAATAGGGAAAGGAGCTCCGTACAGTGCAATGAGCCAAAGAGGATACAACGGAAATCCCGATCGAGCCCAGTAACGTGAAGTGATAAGACTAAGAAGTCACAAAATCGAGGACGAGAACCACACAGAAGTGGAATTAGCAGGGTCCGAATCCGAAGAAAGAGAAGCCTTCCCTAATGCGTCATTGCCGCTTTCATAGAGAGCCACTGGGGCAGCTTTCTTAGGCTGCTTTCATACTTCGCGCGGTGCGGTCGGTGCAGTCGGTGCCGACGGCGCCGACCGCACCGACCGCACCGACAGTGAAGAGCGTCAATACGCGCTCTGGCGCATGACGCGTACGTTGGGCGCAGATCGCGCTCCGATCGATAATCCTGGTTTTGGTGTATTTCTTGTCTTTTCGATGTTTTTTTGCGCCGTGTTGCTTTTATTCGTGTGTTTTCTGTTCATACTTATTCTTTTATGTCTTGATTCATACTTTTCAGTTGTTCCGCGGACGAGCGACTTCGTAGAACCCCGTCGTACTACCCCGAAAGTGGCTATACCGGGTGAGTTCATCATAAGCAATTTTGTTTATTCGAGTGAACTCTATAATTTTAGAAGTTGCTTTTTCTTCGATACGATCGCACTCGAATAAACAAAATTGCTTATGATGAACTCACCGGGTCTTGAAGCCACGTTCACACGGGGTTGTACGACGTCGCTCGTCCGCGGAACAACTGAAAAGTATTCATCAAGACATAAAAGAATAAGTATGAACAGAAAACACACGAATAAAAGGCAAACGGCGCAAAAAAATCGAAAAAGACAAGAAATACACCAAAACCAAGATTATCGATCGGAGCGCGCCATCTGCGCCCAACGTACGCGTCATGCGCCAGAGCGCGTATTGACGCTCTTCACACTGTCGGTGCGGTCGGCGCCGTCGGCACCGACGGCACCGACCGCACCGGCGCGAAGTATGAAAGCAGCCTTAGAAGTCAAAACAACCCAGCTGCGCACTTTTTTACAG